ATGTGTCCAATCGCGGAATAGATAGAGGACGTTCATATAGCATGTCATCGATCCATTCATTGTCCTATAAAGTGAGATAGTTGCCGCCTTCATGTGCATTTTTCAAGAAGCGATGGCGCTTTGTGATTTTACAATATAGGTTGAAAATAGTGCCAAAATGAGATACTGCAAATATTGCCAAAGGGGCCATAGGGCTTGATGCAGATTTCACAGTTTTGCCGTTAGAACCAACTTCGGTGTCGCTTGCTCTAAGTAACTTTGCTAGTATCTATGTGACAGTCTGCCCCACAAATCTGACCAAACGTCGCGACGACCGTTTCCTGCTGTGCAGTTATTTAATATTATCTAGCATAGACTGATAGACACCAATAAAGTGAATAAGCACTGGAAGCTGTTGTCAAGTTCCGCGTGAAGGACTGCCTACACGGGAACATCGGCGGCCGGCTAATCTTTGTTTGCTCGGCTGCAAACATTTAAGGAGTGCAGACCTCTATTAGACGAACTCTTTGTCAATGGTGGTTACTAAACAGTTATTGAGGAGGTTTCTCAAGTAGTGTTTTCTCAGGCGTATTGTGTTGATAGCGGATTTATATCTTGCCAAATCTTACAGGTTGAGTCGCTAGCTATTTACATTCAGAACGTCCATATTTGTTGAATTCTTTCCCTTTGCATGTTCGTATTGTAAAAATTAATGTTCACTGCCCCCATGTGCTAAGACCATTTTCTCGACTCCTGTTTGCATTTTTGCACATTTACCTACTAGTACGCAGTGTCCTCGGGAAGAAAATCCTCTGTGAACACAAAAGGGAATAACTAATAGTGTTTTGCATTATTTTCGATTTCTTTCGTTATTTATGGAATTCTCACCCCATTGACCCCCTAGTATATGTCGCCGTAGATATTCACTCTTACCGCAACTCGCCGCTAAAATGCCCACGGTGTTGATGGTGGCCGAGAAGCCTTCCCTGGCTGAGTCTCTGGCCAAACTCCTCTCTCGAAATGGTCATTCTTCACGTCGTGGAAGCAATGGGGCCTGCTCTATTCATGAATGGAACGGAAATTTTCGGGGCCAGCCCGTGCACTTCAAGATGACATCTGTCTGCGGCCACGTCATGACCTTGGATTTTGTAGGACGTTACAATAATTGGGATGCTGTCGACCCAGTAAGTGATAGGTTATGGAAAAGATCCTAAAAGTATTTGCTCGTTTTATATCAGTGAATGCCACATCTCGACATTTGCATTTCTGCGATTGCCTTAGGACCGTTTTCTTCCTACTGTCCTCACAAAACTTGTATTGGCCTCGTTTTATTTTGTTCATTAAAATCAGACACGATCGATGCTCGAATACCTGTGATGATAGTATATAGTGGGGCTTCCTAGCAGGACGCCAGAGATCCAAACGGATAAAAAACTTCGGAAACGGACTCGAAGCGCCAAAGTGTGCGATTTCAAATTC